ACATTATCCTGAACCGCAAGTCAAATTTTAGAACCCAGTCAGAAAACGAAATTCTATAAAGACCGTGGGCCTGTGGCTTTACCGTGATTCTCGTGTCTCGCAGATCTCTCTGCACAGTTTCACACACAGCGTGTGAACTGTACGCAACGAGCCACTGGCTGGAGGGAGGGAGAGACTGGAGTGGGAAGTGAGAGAAAGATAGAGAAGGGACGCATCATATGTCCATACTAATGTTCACAGCAGGGGGAAGAGGGAGAGAAACATTATGGGTTTTCAGTTAAGTATTGTTTTATTATGATGTTATTATATTAATACATTTAAATATATGTGTCCATTGTCCAATCTGTAATTCTCCATGTTTAAATCCAACATTGGAACATGGAACTTGAAAACAATTACTTGCTCAGCATTACTTGAATTTGAAATTTTTGGTCAATAAGGAAGTCTGTTTATTTGCTTCGTGAATGGAAACAAGCAGATCACATTTCGCTTATTGCAAAAGAGTTTGGCTTAAAATTCCTGCGACAGCTGGACGGAAACATCCACAGAGATCGAAGTGAGACGAGTGTGTGTGTGTGTGTGTGTGGGGGGGGGGGTAGAAGCACCAAGGCAAACGTTACACGGAGGAGGTGGGGTCACGAGACGTAACTGGACTCCTCAGCACAAGTATGCGAGAGGATAGGGAGCTGCCCTTTTCAGCCCGGCGCATGGTCACACTTGATCTGTCTGAGGAATGTGGTCCGTTTGACTGGAAATAACTCCAGCTCATCTGTGTTTGTCCACAAACACGCACACTCATTTACACAAATGGAGGAGTGTTTAAGGTGTGTGTGGAGGCCCGGTCCAAGGTGTGTTTAAGAGTGGTCGCTGCCTGTCAGCCACACCGTTCCTGAGCAAACAGACTTGAAGAGAGGGAGGACGGTGCCGGGCCGCTGTGACCACAGAGCCAGCCCCGTCCCGTCTACAGGAGATCTGTGCCTGCTTCCTCATAACAACCGTCCCCATGGCAACCCCTCTCGGTTGGCTCTGTATTTAAAAAAACAAGCTCGCACTCGTTGTCTGTTATTCCCCCCGTGTCTCTCCATCTGTCTATCTTGAATAGACCGAACTAGACTGTCCAGTTTCAACATTAAGTGGGTAAAATAGCAGATCTTGACTGGGCACAAAAAGCCACACACGGTGTATTCAGTGAACCTCACATGCTTGTGTGTGTGACACAACTGCAAACCCTCTGTAGTCATAATTTTCAGCAACGTGTGTGTGTGTCTGTGTGTGCATGCAGCGTAGTGATTTTCTCTAACCAAATATTAACCCTCTCGCTGCAGCCCACGTGTCGTGTCAGTTGTCCAAGAGCCGATTGGATTTGAGCCTCAGCCTGCTCGCGACCTATCAGCAGCTCATGCGGTATTTTGTCTGCCCTTGCCTCAGTGCAGCGAGAGTTAATCTGCTACTAGGCTGCTTAATACAAACACACAGTACGCCGCTTCCTCAGTATGCTGCAACAGATCTCTCCGCTTTTAATCTCTGTGTAGGAAACCATGTGGAGTTTTTACCTCTGCTGCGGTTTCCTCTGCTTTGACTTTGAACAGACGGGTCAGGTGCGATAATACTGTGAAAAGAAATTGACACTTCAACATTGAGAAAACACAGCTCATGCTAGAAATACTCACAATGAAAGATATGTGACTGTTAACGGCAGATGTAATTTACATCCCACATTTGTCCCTCATTTGTGGGTGGAAGACGTACAGTGTGTCTCTTTATGTATGTAGGGGGATCTTTAAATACACGCTGACAGTGTCTGGGCTCTGTTGAAGGTTTTCTCAGCGAGAAAGCGGTCAGATCCCGGCTCAGACAGCCTTGCAGAGAAGACGCCGGCTGTGTCTTTGAACCAGATCCTCTTCCCTATAGTGGTCGATACCGTCTGCGTCTCTGACTCCGCCCAAGGTCCCCTGCAAAGACGGACACCCACATATCCGACACTTAGAGGTGTGTTGTGAGTGGAGGAGTGTGACGTGGGCAGCTGTGAGACGTATGCGTTTAAAGGTTTTGTCGTCAGCCTCCCTCTCCCATCTCTAGTTTGAGTCTCCTGAAGAAAAAAGGCCTCTGCAGGTATACGATTAAACCTGCTCATCTGTGTATGAGTTTATAGAGGAGAAAGGTGGACGCAAGGGTCTCGGTGGACAACCTGAAAGGTCATGTGTCAGCATTTTTGTCTCATTTTCCTTCCTGGCCAGTAAGCAAAGAGGCAGGAAGCCTCATCTATTGTACCTGAGAAGCAGTCACACAGACCATTAAGTGATCACGAGGTTTAAGAAATCAAACCAGCAGCTTCCACCGCCAAGAACAGGAAGGATCGTAGAGGTCGCTTCAGCATTCCAGGGTGTCTCTTTACCGCAGGAAACTGGCCTCAGAGACATGAGGCAGCGTTTCCTGTCAGAGTGCGCAGTGGACACGCTCACCTTTCATAACAGCGTGCCACTCTGAGAACCTCCTAACTCGGCCCCCGACTGTATATTCACAGGACTAACCTGCAAAGCACAGCACTTTTAGGGGGCAAAGTGGTCCGATTACACCCCTAAGGGGAGGAGTGGTGTTCACCCGGTTTGTTTTTCTGAAGGCTGCGTGTCACAATCGGAGCATCCTGGGCGATGGAGCCAAGCGTGGATTAGATACCGCAGCTCAGCCTGAGTTCTGGTTGTCAGTAAGCAGAATGTTGTTTTCCAGCTGTTTTTTTCCTTTACAGCATGTTAACATTTGCTGTCCAGTGTTCATGTGTGACTGCAGCTGCTCTTCCAAAGAAAGTTGATTCATGGAGCCGATGACTCCCAATTCCAGAAACCCCCACCCCTTCCTTAAACAAACAACCCAGCCTTTGACCTGACTCTGTAGAAAATGTTACCTGGACTATGAAAAAAGTCTTACTTTAAAGATGCTCTGAGGGGATTTAAGTGCTTAATCACAGTTTAAGTTAATAAAGTAACAACGTGTAAGTTTCAGCCTCCCAACTGCACAATAGATGGTTAATAAAGTTGATTGAATCATAAGTCAGTTTCATTTTATGTAACCCTAATCCTGGGAGTTTCCAAGCTGTTTTCTTCACCGCAATTATTTTGTCATGTAGGTGCCTGCCCCGTTAGCCTCTCAGCCCATGCTCTTATTTTTAGATGGCCAGCCTCCCTGTGGAGTACAGTAGGTTGTTGTTTTCCTGGTCACAAACGGTGCGGGGACATAGAGGAGGAAGCAGGTCACGGAGCAGTGTGCGAGAAGCTGTGTTAGCGAAGAGGAGGATGATGATGAAGAGCAGACAAACATGTCGTTCACGCAGCCTGTTAGCAGCAAGGTGGTAGGTTCAGTGTTGTTTTTGGAACACGTGTGTGTTTTGTGTCCTCGGGGTGCGCCGACAGGAACTCCTGGCAGCAGAACAATAACAGAGCTGGCACAAAGGAGGGTTGGAGCGGGTTAGGGCACAGGGGGATATATTAAGGCCAGAGAGACTTGGCGTGTTAGTTGTTATTCTCAGTCTGGATAAGTTTATGTAGTCTGCTAAATCAGTTTGGATACCATATTATAACTGAAACAGGAACTGGATGTAAACAAAGGGCTGTAATGTCATCGGGGGGCCTCTGGGGAAGCAAAGAGTGCCTGGGATTCCCCTAAATTTCCCATCAGTTATACAAAACAGTTTTCCTCCTTGTAGGTGGGATCCGCTTTTGAACATGAGCTGAAAACTGCCTTTTGTGATGTACCCCATGAAGTACATTGCTGAAGTAATACTGTTTGTTGGTGTGCGCCCATTTATCTTGAAGATAACCAGCCAGTGTAGACAGCACAACGTGAGTTTTCACTGCAGCCACATCAGAGTCATTCTGTTGTAACCAAAGAGCAACTATTTTACAGCGAAAAGCAGCCATCAGAAGAAATCCATTATACAAGATGGGGAGAGACCAGCTTCTCCACGGATTGTGATCTCAATAATACAGAAAAATGATGCTGCTTTTAAAAATAAGAAAAACAACCTGAGGAAATCCCTTAACGCTTTTATTTTACAAATGTTCTGGCACGCAAAAAACAAATGGACTCTGAGTAACTGCATATACGGTATAATGGGCAGCACCGGCATTTAAATACACGTACCAGTTGCATTTTATACTGATTAACCCACAGCTAAAAGCAGCATGTTCACTGCATAGTGGCTATCAAAAGTCATTCTCCTAGCTAGTAATTCTTTTCATTATTTTCTTGATTGATTAATTAATTAAACTATGAAATGAATTAAATGTTCTATAACATGTCAGAAAACTGTGAAATTAAAAGAGGGACAAAGCCAGGCCTTGAAAGGTGACACCTTCAGATTGCTTGATTAATAATCAACTTCATCTTTTCAGCTCCACCTCTGACATCAGAAGTTGCTAATTGAAGTAGAAGTGGACCAGGCATGTTAAGGAAGTCTGTAGAAACACTTTGTACAGACTTTTATGTTCACAATTCATTGATTATTTTCTACATGTCTTAAAAATGTCAGAATATGGTGAAAAATAAATGTGTATGCATTGGTCCGGTGTTAAAATCCTCACATTGACTGTTTTGTCCTGTTAACAGTCTAAAGGCCAAGATCTTCAGTTTACCATGAGGAAATAAAAATTATAACATTTGAGAAAGTGGAACCATTTTGGGCATTTGTGTTTGATAAAGTGACTTTTTAATTTAATATTTTGTTATCGGATTATCAAAAAGATTGAGAATTAAATTCTAATTTGACTAATTTATCAATCTACTAGTCATTTCGGCTCTAATGATGTCACAGTGGAGTAAAATCTAAGCATATAATAGAATCTGCAGGTGGATTTTAAGTCTGTAAGTGTGAAAATGGTAAGTTATGTCCTCCTAACATCTCACTGAGGCTGTCCTTTTCTTTATTTATGTATCTGTATTGTTTATATTTCTCTTTCTTCCTATTTATCATGCGTTAATCATTCTCTTTCCGTCCTCATTCTCAGATGTGCACCCCAGCGAACACACCAGCGACGCCCCCGAACTTCCCGGATGCGTTGACCATGTTCTCCAGGCTGAAGGCGTCTGAGAGCTTCAACAGCGGCAGCGGTGGCAGTTCCATGGCCGCCTCCATGGCCACCTCACCCCCGCCCCCCCAGGTCGGCGGCTGGGGGGTCTCACCAAATGTACCTAATGTGCCGCAACCTCCACAGGGACTCTGGACTCAGGGGCAGCCCCCCACACAGCCCTGCCCCGCCTGGCCCATGGGCGTGAACCCCCACGCAGGCGCCGAGCAGAAGGCTAGTGTAGCGATGGAGGCTGAGAGATGAAGGGCAGCACAGGACTGAAAAGCCCCCCCTTCCACCCTGGGGAGGGAGGGCAACGGGCAGGCGGGCGGGGTAAATGCGGAGAAGGGTGGGAGGAGATAATGGGTAAAAAGTAGGTTTTGGTCGTTTTCCCAAATGATGGATGATTACGGAACGAGACGGAAACTACGCAAACCAAGAAAAACTCAACGTGGACAATTTAAGAAGAGGAGAAAACCAATGCAAATATCAATACAAAAAGAGAAAGGAAAAAAAGATACGCACACACATAGTAATAAGAGAGCAACTGAAATCTTTGTTAGTTTTTCCTAAGTAAATGCATAGATAAGAGAAATATTATTGAACTAAAAAAACACATTTTTAAAAGTAATTGTCATGCCCAAGGAATTTATGTGATGTTCAAGGACTTTCAAGGCAGCAAACTAAATTTTCAGTTTGTTGTTTAGTATTTCTTTTGTTTTCTTCTATCATTTCAGCCAGTGTTTTTTTTTTTTTTTTTGCCACTGGTGTGTTTCTGCAACTGCATGAGGAGAGAGGAACTTGCAATGCAGCCTTTGAGATTGACTCAAAAATCAACACGCACTTGAGTGTGAGTGTGTACGCATGTGAGCGGGTGGTCAGTTTGTAATCGAAAATGTACACACACACACACACACTATATATATATATATATATATATATATATATATATATATATATATATATATATATATATATATATATATATATATATATATATATATATATATATATATATATATATATATATATATATATATATACACGCACACACACGCGCACACACACACACACACAGCGTTTAGAGGAAACACTTCCATACTGTCATCCCCATCGTCAAAGGTGGGACTTTTCTTACCTCACCTGGTGGTCACCTGACTTCTTTCAGCCAATCAGGGATTCTTCTTAAACCAACCGTTGCCGCCGCAGGACATGTTTTTAAAGGTTTTTTCTTAAAAAGGCAGCAGCCACTCTGGTTTATGCTAACTGATCCTTGCTGCAATGGCTTTCTCCTGACAGTTTTAAACCTGGACTCAGACTGCAGCGGTCCACTGTATACGTTTTCTGGAGATTTGGGTTATTACAGGAAAAATGAGAAATCATGGTTTAATACAATATCGTTTGTAATGGTAATTGTTCTGTTTTTGTTGAAAGGTTACGGGAGGTGGCTTTGAAAATGGGTGGGACTTTTTTTTTTTTTTTTTAAAGAGTGAATCAAACGCAGCTAAAATTGCTAGATTAAAACAAAAACAAACAAAAAAACACACGACTACTCCATCTTTGTAAACAGAATTGCCACTTTGCATGATGTGTTCATAACGTGTAACATCTTTTGTAGCAAACATACATGAGGTTGAGAAATGTTTATGGGAGGGGGTGGAGGATGTGGGTGGGGTGGTGGGTCTCATTCCCTAATAGAAATGTAATAAATGAGCGTTTCTCTACGAAGCTAAAGTCAAATCCAGCTGTGTCTCGCTGTAAAGGCAAAGTTGGACAGCATGTCTGGTTGGATTTGAGAAACAGAGGAGAAAATGGGAGTGGGGCAGCTTCGGGAGGCCACCACAGGCTATTCGGGGACACTACAGACTACTTTCAGATATACATTATAAATATATATAAATACCCTCAGATACTGTACTACAGAGGGGTTTTTACAACATTTAGGTCTCTAGTTTCAACCGGTCCCTGGTCCATTGATACTGCTGAGGGACAGTTCAGGGATGACCCTGATATACGGCAATATTTTAAATGCAGGGTCTGCCCCCCAGTTACTCCTGTTTGGATTATTTTTTCATTCGATACAAGAAGAGAGAGTAAGATATTTTGAATAGGGTCTTTTTTTTTTCTTTTTTTTAAAGATTTTTTTAAAAAATGTGTAGGAAAATTACAGATATAATAATGTATAAATAAGCAACTTTAGTATTTAGACAGAACTACTGTTGGAGTTCATCCTTTTTTCTTTCTTTTTTTTTCTCAACGCTTCATACTTTATTTGGTTAAATCAGAGCATTTCTGGGTGGGCCTGTTCCTAAATGGTTTCTCATGTATGTTTCCCTACTTGTATGACTGTATGAGACCATTCCCACAATATTTGTGGACTACCTGATAATTAACTTATCATTTTTGTGAACCTAAATAAATATTGTATGTCAACCTAATCTGCATGCTTTGCTGAAGTGTGTGAATAGTGGCTCTACAGCTGATTGAATATGAGGTTTGTCAAAGGAAGGAGCCTCCTGAGCGAGACGTATAGTTGTGTGTGTGTGTGAGAGAGAGACATGATGTTTAGAAACGAGAAGGTCTGGAGATGAAAAGTCAAAATGGGGGGAGGGAGTTCCGCACTGCGGCCATCGCTATCGCCTCTCTGACTCTTTAGATGTAAACACAAACACCAGCTGTCCACACACAAACACACACTGCACATGCCAGTGGTGTGGTGGTGGCGGTAAGGGGGTGGGGGGAGTCACAGAGTTCTCCATGTCCTCAGTTCACCTCCTGACTCCTTCCTCCTCTGCAGGAAATAAGAGATCTCCTCTGCTGATTGTGTGTGCCACTTTGCCAATCTTTGAGGTGCTGCGAGTGAGTCAGCGAGGGTCGGGTGAATGCCGACAACCTGGCAGCGGGTACTGCCATGCATCTGAGTATGTGGGGAAACGGCAATTGCAAAAAACACAGAGGGTTTGTCCAAGAGCAGCACAGCAGAGTCCAGTATCATGGGAAGGCAGTAAATCTGGAGGCCGCCATTGCTTGCTTTTAACTGATTTCCCCTGTTTCTATTCATCATACCCTCACTGCAAAGAGGGCTCTCACCTGATGTGAGTGATTAACTTTTTATTTCTGTTACGTCTGCAGCTCATGGTTTTCCCAGAAAATACTTTATTTATGATTCATGTAAAAATGCTATTGCTAAGTAGCCAGGTCTCCTATTTACTCCGAACAAACTGATCATGTAAACAAATCATAAATCACACTTTGCTGAGAAGAATCTTTGCATCTATCTATCTATCTATCTACAGGCCTTTTAATTTATCAGATTACACAACAGAACCCACTTGTATAAAAAGGAAAAAATGCAGCATTTATCATTACAATGCAAACTGTCATATGTTAGTATACTAGTGTAGAGTGCTCTGTTCAGTTCCCTTCACACAGAACCCGGGCATTGTTTTCTGGGTCACTGGATGGTGTGGACACAACACAGCCTCACAGACGGCATGCCATCAGTACACCTGTCTCGCTTCATGTGTAGACATCACTATAGTGTAGATTTATTTGACCTTAATTTTTTAATTGTCCAGCCTCAAAGGCCTCGACAATCTAGATCTTCCAGATTGGTTGATAGTCCACTTTGGACTGAAGCATCAGCCACACACACACATCTTTGTACAGTCTTGACACACACACAATTGTGGATTTTTGAATATTGTCATTCACATTCTGCATTAGGCTATACATCAAATTAGATTAATTTTGCTTGTTAGATTACAGGTTTCTCGAGGACGAAAAAAGAGAGGAACAGTCCAAGCTCCCAACAATATTTAAAGAACTAAATGACGCCCACCGAGCAAAAATCCCCTTGACTGAAACTGTCAACCATCTACATTGTAAAGTGAAGGCCAGTCAGCCGACCCTTAATAAGCTGAGGTCAGCAAACTGGAAATATATCAGCAGCGTTTTGTGTGTGTGCCTCTGATAACTGAGCCCTAGAAATAAAACTTTTTTTTTTTAAATCACTCGAAGAAACGGAGACGGCATATCAACAGAGAAGTTGCCTGCCTCAGGAAAATGTTGAACTTGTGTTTAAGGAGCCAGCGGAATGACACTAAGACAAGGAAAAAAAGTTGAGCTTTTATTCAATGAACAGGCAAGAGAGGTGCACAAATTAAAAAAACAGCAAAAAGAAACTACCCTTCTGCTTCCAAAAGGCAGCAAAGCTGGCAAAAGAGAGGGTACAATAGTGGATTAATAAAAAATGTCCCCAAGCTGTGACAGAGGGTGTAGAAGACTGACAGCCACCAGGCCTCCCAGATGAAAATATCACATCATCTGTGCATTCCTGTATAGGTGACATGATATCAGCATCCTGGCAGCCACATCCTTGTACGTATGCAGTGTCATACATGTGAGGCCGTTTGTGGATGATGGTCTCCCAGCAGTTGATATCTAAAACGCTACTAAAATTGTAAACCATCTCCAGTAAAGAAAATCAGTAGTCTCCCATGACCCTCCTCTGCACAACAGCACCATGTCTTGGATCAGTGCAGTAAACGTAAACAGTGGCTCAGTGGTTAGCCCACTTCTTTCTGTGTGAAGTCTTCACGTTCTCCCCGTGTCTGCGTGGGTTTACTTCAAGTACTTCAGTTTCCTCCCACACTCCAAAGACATGATATTTGGAAACTCTAAATTGCCCAGAGACCAATGGGTCAAAATGAAATAAATACAAGAATAACAAATAAATAAAGTTGAAGGTTTTTTTGTATTTCCTGTAATACCTTGTGCATAATTACAATGACTGAGCCTGATTTCCTTTGTATACTATGACGGGTGGAAATAACAAATAATTGATAAAAAAAGGAGGTGATGACAGTGCATGTGAATTGAAAAATAAAGGGGTTAAAATGGATGTGAAATGAAAAATAGAGTGATAAATATTCAAGTGATTTGATTAATTTTTATTTGATTAATTGATTTGATTAATTATTAATTTGATTAAAACAGTAGTGATAGCATGAAAACATAACCATTTTTATTCATCATTCACAAGCCAAAATTGGCATTCATCATTTAAAGCATGTACCCTCAAGGGTTAAAGTAACAAAAAGCTGATAATAAAATGGAGGTGATGAAAATGCATGTGAATTGAAATACAGAGTGGTTCCATTTAAGGTGGATTGAAATATAAAATAATAAATTGTCAACTGATGTGATAAACTTTATTTACGCTCATCGTTCACAACACCCTGCTACTTCCTGTTGAAACTGTCAATCATAATCCACGCCCCCCCCCGACGAACTGATCGAGGTTTTGGCTCTCAACGTACGTCGCTGGAGCTGGAGCGAGCCCAGCTGACCGGAGGAACATTATGCCATGCTCTGCTGTTAATTGTACGACAGACTGCCCAACAAGCCACTGCCCCAGTTGTTTCGGTGAGTGAAATTGCAGCATTTCGTTTATGTGTTAGCGATAACTAGCAGGTATCGTTGTCGGCATAAATAGCATGTTAGCTTAGCTCGTTAAGCTAATTAGCGCAGGTTCGAGCGAGTTTTGAAGTGTTGTGCAGAGTTCTGCCTGTGCGCCGAACATCGCCTGCACCTCCAAGCAGGGGCGGACTGGGACAAAAATTCAGCCGTGGCACTGTAGCCACGCCAGCTCACCTTACCACGCGTCCCCACGAACACACATTCACTACTTAGGCTAACGTTACATTTGTTTACAGATGGTGAAACAATATAAACAGTAGGCCTACAGGATGTAACAGCAAGTGCGTCACTTTGTGTTGAAAAGAGCTGGTGACATAAGGTCTGAAAATAGGGGTGTGATGAAAGACTTTGGTCTTTGGTAGAACAAGACGAGAAGATATTTTAATACTAT